GCTGGTTAGGAAGAACCGTAGCTCCTATGTGGGAGCACTGAGCAGTTTCCCCAAAGCAGAGGAGTGTCCTTGACTTGCCTTTTGTGCTGCTCTCCCTGTCCACAGTTACAGCCTGCGAGTCCTGTTTCCCCCACTGTCCTCTTGCAAATTAAACCCTGGGAAGAAAAATCTTGTGAATCAAACTTTGTCACTCCTCTTCTGCAGGCCATTGCCCCTGTGACTTGGTTCTCTCTCCAGGGCTCTATTTCAGGCTTTACACAGTTGGCATTTATCTCTGGTTTTGTGCATTGAAATAAGCCAAGGGGCCACTGGAGCGTAGGCTGCAGTTTGGGATTACCAGACCAAAGGTATTAGCACTTAAAAGATGAAAGCGAAGTGTGCTTATTGCACAAAGGGTGAAGGACAGCGACTGGATTAAGAAGGAAAGTGTTCTGCTAAATTGGGCCTCTCACTTCTCATTTTTCTGCAGGGATGGCTGATGTGTAGTTCCGATCAAGATATTATTAACATTTGTGCTAAGCACTTAGAGTATTCCTCATCTTCAAAGGACTGCACAGGCATTAGCTAATCCTCCCAGCACTCCCAGAGGCAGGCAGGTTTTATATTCACTGTTTCACAAGAAAAAGTGTTAAAATTGGTTCCTAGACCAGGAGTGGAGTATATGTCAGTGACTTGATGTTATCTACGTGTCTCTCATGCTGAGTCCCGTGGTCTCTTCTTCAGCTTGGCCAGGGTGTGCTCGTTCAGGTCTCGCCCTCCTTTGTGAAACGCCAGAAGACTCATTTCCATGACTTGCCCTGTGGTGCATCTGTGATCCTCGGCAACAATGGTTTCATCTGGATCTACCCAACTCCGGAGCAGAAGGATGAAGAGACAGGGAGCTTCACCACCAACCTGGAGGTGAGGGTTCAGGGAAAATGAACCTTCTCCTACCAGTGATGTTTTGTTTGTCTAACATGGTCAGAGGCACATGAATAACCTGAGACTTTCAAGATTTGGTATTAGGTTCATGGAAGAGCTTTTTGACAGTAGGCTTGCATTATTTCCCTGTGTATTCATCTATTTTCCGCTGTCCTTCCTCAGCCAGTTCCCTTGTCTGACCGGGAGGTGATCTCACGGCTTCGAAACTGCATCGTGGCTCTGGTTACTCAGAAGTTGATGCTCTTTGACACCAGCATCCTGTATTGCTATGAGGCATCCCTTCCTCATCAGGTACAGTGGCAGCCTACTGAGCTAGATGAGATGTTCCTTTGATGTTTACAGGTCATCTCTTGCCTTCCCAAATACTGGTTTGTGTCCTTCAGGAAAGATTAGGAGTTGTCAGTAGCATCTTGATTTCTTCTGGTCTCTAAGAACTGCTAACTCTGGCAAAGTTGACTTTGCTTTGGACCCTCTGCTGTGACAGTCTTGTTTGACCACAGCTCTCTACATGTATTTTACTTGCTGCGTGTTGCTGTGTGCCAGGGACCTTTGTCCCCACAGAGTTCAATAGCAGTAGATGCTGTTTGGTGCCCATGTTACTCTTCTTTCCATTCCAGATCAAGGACATTCTGAAACCAGAGGTGATGGAGGAGATCGTTATGGAAACCCGACAGAGGCTGCTGGATCTGGAGGCGTAGGGCTCGTGGCCAGAAGCAGTCATTTGAAGACCCAGCATGGCAGCTTATGATTCTCAGTATTTCTTTTTTCAGTATTCCAGTCCCCAGCTGGAATAGTTCCACACTTCAGAAACCACCAAAATTCCTTATTTTAACTCTGAGGGTACCTCCTGAGCCCTTTTAGTACAATAGTACTAAATAGTACTTCAGTACAATAGCCTTTTAGTGCAGCAGCCTGAAAAATTGATACCTGACCTTTATGAAGATGCAGATGCAACTGGGACATATCTCATAGCACTTGTTGCTGTGTCTAGTGCCCCTGAACTTTGTGCAGAATGACAGAGAGAAAGGGACGTGTTCTGTCATGTTTCTCTCTCCCCAAAGGTTTTCTAAATGGTTTTGATTTTCCTTTACTGTGATATAGATCTGCCAGTCTGTCCCCTGACAGAGAGCTCTTGTTGTCTTCTTAAGACTGCAGATCACAGGTCCGAGTCTTCAGAGGACAGGAGTACCCACACCCTTGCTAACCACATTTTGGGGCTGTCTGCTCATGGTTTCTATGTCTCAAGGGTATGAGATTGGAAGTGGCACGATGTGGCTGTCCACACAGGCCCGGAGCCATGGGCGAGCAGTGCCTTCCTCAGTCTGTGTGCATCCTACTGGTCCCTTTTTTATGCCTGATGTGCTGAGCTCCTCCTCCGAGGAGGCTCCAGTATTGTTTTGTATTAAATATTTTACATTTCAATAAATTTTTTGAAACAGATCAGTCATTCAGGAGTGTGTGCATTATCTTGTCTTTCTCCAGAATTAATTGAGTCTAGCTTGAGAGCTATGGTTGGCTCAAGTTTCCTTGTGCCAGGATACTCAGAATGGTTGCAATGTCCTGTTATCTCCTCTTCAACAGTTGCTCCTCATCCCATTCAAGCAGGACTTGACCTTCCTCTTCAGGATATCTTCTGTGCAGAGTTCCTCTGTAAGCAGATCGCCTGGCATTGTTCACAGTGGCTCTCTCAACATTGCTTTCTTGCAGGATCCCACGGAGAGGTGAGTCACGCAGCAGCTGTGCCTGGGGGGTGACAGGGAACCCAGCATGACACTGGTGAAGATCCTCAGGCCAGTGATTGGAGGTGGGCATGCTGAGCCAGGCCTTGGCAGTCAGTCACTTGCCTTCTCCATGCAGACTGGATGTGATGCTTTCCTTCGAGCATCCTCTTACATCTCTGATGCTATATTAGAGCTGTTTGTGTTACGTATTTGTATTTTATTAGAGCTGCTTGCACCACAGTGCTGCAATTCTTAAAAAGGATGAAAAAGCAAAATGTTTGCCCTGATTGTCCCTGAATCTAATTCTAACGTTGCAAATTCTCCTGCTTGCCCCAGGCAAAAGGAAAAATTATTTGCTCCATTTTTTTCTGGGAACTAGAAATACCCTTTCATCGCTTCTCATCTCATTGAGTGCTCTGCCCGTGGTCCAGCATGAGCACTAGGTGGCAGCTTCAGATCGTGTTTGTGTCCCCAGCAGTTCTGTTTTGCTGCCCTGCCAAACAGGCTGGACTCCTGCCACCAGTGCTGCTACCTAAATACTAGAGCATTATGGAGCTTGGTGGCTAAGGACAAGCAAGGACGTGGGTAATCTGTTCTGTTGCTGCACAATTCAAACTTCTGCCTGTGCTGCCTCTGTAAAATAGTACTTACCTCCTTGGGGATATTGATGGAATGCTCCATGCAAGACCCAGGAATTGTTATTTCTGAGTCTTACGAGGATTGCCTAATAAGTGTTGCAACAATCACATCCTCAAGATGACTTGAGAAATTTGAAAACTAAAGCTTGATGGTGACACTCAGGTCTGTGCATGAGGCTGGTAGCAGCATTATCCACATCTGCGTGGACAGGAACAGCGCAAAAAGGCTAGAAGTTTCAGCATCCCCTGCATCTTCTAATTAGAAAAGTACCTCTGATTTTTTTCCCTACCCAATTGCTGTAGTTTAGCAGATGTTTATCTTATTACCATATGGGGAGATTCAGGGATTTCTGCTGTGAGGCTTCTAGGTATAAACAGATTGGCGATCTATAAGCAATGAGATAAAAAAAGGGAACATCAGATACTTTAAAGCATTTTTGAAGGCTGATGGAGAGGTCTGTATTTAATAACCTGGTAAGGTTTGGTTACAGATCTTTTCTGATATGTGGAGGCAACTGACGGTATTTTCCTCCCTGGCCACGAGGGGTCATTGCTGTTCTTTACGAATTCAGCCAGTGCTGTGCCAAGTCCAGAGCTAAATTCTGTAACAAAGCTTCAGCGTGGGCATTGCTGGCAGTTCTGCAACCCCATCAAGGACAGCTGTGCAAGCCAGCAGGTGACAACAGGTGAGAGTGACAAACTTAAGTGGGGAGGGACAAACTTCCTGAGCAGTTTCAAAGAAGGGTGCCAGGCCAGCTGCCATTCACTGTTGGTTTGGCTGAACCCCTGTGACTTTTCACTCTCTGGACGAATGTCGAGGGCCACCAGTGCTCGTCCATCTCGAAAGCAACTGGATGAGCTTCTGAGGCTCATGGTTCCCAAATGGAGAGGCTTCAAGTATCACTGTCAGTTGTGACCAACAATATGGCAAATGACTTCCCCAGTGCTCAGCGGAGATGAGTGAGGAGTCAGACAGGGCCTGGGGGGATTCTGGCATCTCGGGTAGGTGGGGGAGCTGGGGCCCCTTTTTTCCATAGGCAGGTCTGCATGGGAGGATAGGCAGGCTGTATAAAAAATGTCTTTGAAATGGGAAGTGCTCGAGATGTAAAGGAGGACTCCAGCAAAAGCAGTGTCCTCTTGAATTCTTGAAACAGTCTGTGGGATTTTGCTCTCTTGAATTCTTGAAATAGTCTCTGGGATTTTGCTAGGCAACTTCCAAGCAGGAAGGGTGAAAAGGAAGAAGCTATGGCTTCTCTGGTTTAAGGCAAAACTATAGTCAAAAATGGGGTGGGAAAAATCCAATAAGTGTTCATTTTCATATGGGGACTAAAATGCCCATGCATGCATTAAAGCAGCTCAGACCAATCTGATTTCTTTGGTCACCAGTGTCTGACGGTGTGGAGCCTGTTTGTAAATCAGTTGTAGCACCTGCCAGTGCTGCATACTCAAAGGTTAATACATGGCACAGATGTGCCTGAAAGCGGAGCTAGTAAATGGTTCCCTTGCTGGTGAGGGATGCCGGCAGGAACGAGAACACAAAATCACTTGTCTGGAGAAATAATTTTCCTGTTTCTTGGTGCCAGTGTTGATTCATGTACTTATACAAAGAACGGCAACCCCTCCCTTTACTCCCAGTAATAACCATTGGGATTTTAAACTTGTGCTAATGGGTTATTAATCCAATTACTGCTGCTTATTACATTACTTGTGTATCATCCGCATGCAGTTTTGCTGTTCAATTGAGGTGAACGGTATAGATACACCAAGCTTTGAGCAGACCATAGAAGATACAGAAATCCCACTGAGATTGTAGGCAGTTTTGAAACGGTTGTCTTGGGTTTCTGAGGACTGCTAATTAATATGCTAACGTTTAATATTTGGTAGAGTTTGAAGCTGAAAGATACTGTTATGGAGGGAATGAAGGAAACATCACTGCAGCTGTTGGACCTTAACAACCCCACTTAATGGAAGGTAAACAGAAAAAGTACTGAAATGTCGTTTATGAAATGTATGGGATGTACACAGGCCACATGCGAGGCTTGATTGAAAGGAGGAGTCTGTAGATTTTTCTTTAGTTCATTCTGCATTCACACAATCTTTGTCTCTGTCTTCTCAAATAATTTCTGAACCTACGGGGCAACTTCAAGTTTGTTAACATGAGACAATCGTGTTCATAAAAACGGGCAGCAGGGTAGGCAGCAGAAAATACAACACCCTTCAGGAGGGAAAAGAGGACAGATATATTGCTGTGATATTTGGGGAGTGACCAGCTGGCCCATCTGCCCATGTATAGCCCCAGATTAACTACAGCACTACTTTGGAAACAGGAAATGCTTTTGGAGTAACTGCTGGGTGGAAAGAGATTGGGGACTGCTGGCAAAGAACCTGCCTCACTTTGCTGCTTACGATTGCAAAGCGTCAGAAGGAATACCTGACTGTTGACCGGAATTATAAATTCACCGAGTCTGTTAAATAAAGAGTAAGTACATTTGTGTAGATCTCAAGTGAGGCAAGGAAAAGCGTATGTACAGTCTGTATTGTCCAGAACACAAGTTCTGCTTATTTGCAATTACCTTTGCGTATTTTGGTCAAGGTCTCCTGAGTATTATGGACCTGTGGTAGTCTTCTGGAGTTCCCACTGCTTCAGCCCTGCTGTGGTAGGAGAGATTATCCAGGATGGTCCCGTCAGACCCAGAAGGGAATAAGTTTTTCAGTAAAGGATGGTTGGTATTGTTTTTTTGTAACATGTTTCTCTCAGGCTGCTCAGCCTGTGTTGACAGCCAGCTTTGTTTCCTGTGTTTCCTTCACCCCGTGGGAGTGGAGCAGGGGGTTAGATCACTGCAGTGAGAAGCTGATCTCCATTACTGAGATAAACCTGGAGAAATCCTGCTGAGTTTGAGAGATGCGAGCCTGGATTTGTCTCAGTATAATGTACCAGAATTTATCTCTCCTGCCTGTGTGTAGCACAGACAGCCCCAGTACCTGCAGTATGAGTCACTGATGGAGAAATGCAATAGAAAGGGCTCGGGATCAGTCTGCTGGCTCACAATTAAGTGATGTAGGAGCAGACTGGCAGAGCAGAGGTGGAAGATCCCTTAGGGCCGTATGAAGTACTACATTTCAGATGCTATTGTTGGAAGATGAAAAATACACGTCTGCCAGGGACCTTGAATGCGGCGTAGGAGACATGGAGTATGTTTGGATTTGTCACAAGGGAGGAGTCCGTATAAACAAGCCGCTCTGTGTCCAGATGGTTACCCTGAGCAGGATGCTACGGCACAAAATTGCGTTTGTGTGTTCTCCCGTTGTTGAGTGGGAGCAACCACAGACCTTTGACCAAAACACGCTGACCTCAAGCTGCTGCCTCAACCCTGTTCTATTCCCAAGGTGAACTGGAGAACGTACAAGAAGCTAAATATCTTCAGCGTCACTGTCTGTGCTCTTCAGCTCAGGGAACGCCTGTGCTGCACATCTACTGCCACAGTGCAGGCTGAAGGATTTGGGGATTTAACTTCATCTTTGTACCAAATGGTGCACAAAAGTAGATCAATAAAATATCTTATTGTCACATGCATTGGCCTCAAGGGCTGGTTTTAGTACAGCATTAAGAAGTGAAGTCCTTCATGCAAGCTGCGTGACTGATCCCTGGTTGTGGAAAAGCTGATGGCTGTGCACGCAGCTGGCCCAGTGAGGATCTCTTCTT